CTAAGAGCACCCACCTGGCCTGACTGCTGAGTCTGTGGCAGGCTGGGGACCTGCCTGGGTGCACACAATGTGAGCACTGGGGCCTCTTCCAGACAGGCCCCTGGTATGGCCAGAGCCTGAGTCTCAGCTGGCCAGCCCTTTGCCTCAGCAGCTGGGCAAATGCCACTGCTGCAGAGTATCCCAGGAACTTGCGGGAAGCTTTGCAGAACAAAGAAGGAAATCTTGTGACTTAACTGAGGTGAATCAGCCTAGGGGTTGTATACCTTGAAGGGAATCACAGTGAAGCCCAGTTTTAATTAGTGAACACTTGCATCTATAATACCGTGTCTATTTTACACCATAGGTCCTCACCGACAGTGATGAAACCTCGTTCCTTCAGCCACCATTTGCATATTGACAGGAAGGGCTACTGGGTCTTTTACTTCCTCAGTAACCAAGTTTAAGGAGAGTCAGGATTCCCCAGCTTTTCAAATCAGGAACTTGAGTCACCCTTGGAATTTATTTCTCCTTTATCCTCCACATATAAGAAATCACAAATCCTGTTGATTCAACTATCTCACCTTGCAAAATTCACTTTCTTAGAAAATTCACCAAAGTTAACAATTTTTTCTAAAAATCGGTTATAAGTTATAATGCCAGAGTCATGATTTCTTGTCTTTTGGAGGCTATTAAATCACAGTTTACTATCGTCAAAGTATATTGGATTTTACACGGCTCACTTTAAAGGCAAAAATTGTGAACATAACTCCTTTTCAATAGATACAAAATAGGATAGTAAGCGACCCAAAAGGATGGATAATTTATATTGCTTCTTTCAACAAAAGAAGCAATAGAGCAATGACTTATGAGAACTAGACTACATGGAGAAATTAACAGAAATGAAACCCTGGAAACCAACAGAAACAACAGTAAACACAGTCAGAAAAATAGGAAACATATAAGTTTTATACTGCAACAATTAAATAAATCTGTGTATGCAGGGAACACTTTAGCCCCAAATTTTTAATTAAAAAGCATGATGACTTGTAAAACACGTAACTGCAGTACATCAAATATACACAAATAAGCATTTCAAGAGTAGGGTAATAGACCTTGTCTAAATATAGAAAATGGTTTAGCCATTTCCAAAAGTATTAGGATTGTTAAGATTTTACTCAAATGTGGGATCTAAAGAAACGTTTTCTTAGTGTCTGATCTATCACTCCATATTCTCAAAGATTGACTTTAGAAGTAGCTCTCATTGTTAGATGATTTTGCCTTACAAAAGTGTAGCTTTTATTACCTTCGCAGTTCTCAGAATACAAATAGAAAATATGTTAACATTTATTTGGTTTGGGATTGACATTAATGTTTTTTTTCTATTGGGACAGAATGAAGTTGTTCATTCTCAAATTGGTATACTTCATCCCTACAGACAGGCTCTTCTTCCACGATACAACAACTTATTTCTACGTCTTTTATAAGGTTGATTAGGGTTAACTGAATGAATAACTATGCTACAAAAACAGATAACGCCATGACGAATGATAAAATCTTTCAAGTGGATTCCATTTTTAAATTGTGTAAGTAGCAAGAAGCAATGATGTTGCTGGCTATACATTATAAACCTTTTAAAAGTTGTGAGAAAGCAAAATGAGTAGTTCTACATCTTTTTAGCTAACAGTATGGCACAACCAAACATTTATCAAAATTGAAATGACGACCATATGCAAACAGTCAGTGCCTTATCATAATATCATCAGAAGCTGCTCGCCCCAAATGAACTCTTGAGGGTGAAGCTCTTAAAACAACGAATAACATTTTAAGTACACAGCTATTACAAACTCATTTGATATTCATTTTAATTGCCAGGACTATAATGGATATACTTTATATTCAAACAGATGTCACAAGTACTACTACAGAAGTTCCAATATAATTCTGTCTTAGTTAAGAAGGAGTAAATGGATATTTCAAATTAAATGTTACCAGCAAGGAGGGAAAAAAAAGAAACAAAACCAAACCAAAAGCAATTACAGCAAACATGAGCTCCTTAAAACAGCAAATAAAGATTTTTATTCAATTGTGTTCTTTCGTATTTGGATGGCTACAACACAGTAACACAGGAGACTTACTAAAGCAACCACTCGTCTTGCCTCAGCTGTTCTAGAATAGCTCGCCTACGAGATACCAGCTGCAAGTGTGAAAATGACACTCCCAATGACAATATTTAGAGACTAGTCTGTGAAAAGCATTAAAAATTACTACTGTCACACAATTTAAGTTAGCTGAGGGAGAGGCTGATTCTGTATATATTGTCTTATTTCAACTGGTCTTAAGTCTTGGTAACCCCTTTCATCTTCTCCCTCAGCAAGAACTGGTCTCTACAAGTCTCCAGCCCAGCAGGCGCTGGGAACTCACTGTGTAGGTGAGTTCAAGCAGCCAAAACAAAGTACCACAGGCCAGCCGCTAAAGGGACGAACACGTAGGTTCTCACAGGCCCAGAGGCTACAAGTCCATGACCAAGATGGCAGCAGGTTCGGCTCCTGGTGAGAACACTCTGTCTGAGCAGCAGGCACAGAGCACTCTGCATGACCAGCGGGCACTCGTCCCTCAGAGACTCCACACAGTGAAAAGTGAGTTCTTTTGCCTCCTTTTTATTCCTCATAAAGCCAACTGGGTAAGATAGCTGGCTTATGCCCTCACTTAACTTTAATTACCTCCCTTTTCATATTTTGCACATAGGAGGTTAGGATCTTTACATCTGAATTTTGGAAGAACACAACTCAATCCAGAGCAGTCATTAGACATGCAAATTCTCAAGCCCTGCCTCAGGCACACTAAGAAACTCAGGAGCAGGTCTGTCGCTGGTGAGTTATTGTCCTCCCAGGCCAGCAAACCCTGCTCAGTCTGGGAAGCACTGGGCTTCAGGAAAAGCTGAAGCAAAACATTTAGTTCCCTCCATAATTTCTCTCAGTTTCACCTTCCACCTTCATTTCGTATTGTGCTTCAACATGAATCCTGATTTTGCTAATTAAACCACTTCTCACCATAAATTAGTTCTCACCACTTCTCAGATTTTGTCTTCTAGATTTTCTTTCACAAAATGCAATTGTTTTTCTGCCTCCTTTAATGAAGCTCCCGGCTGCAATCATGGGTTTCTTTCTCCAAACAGAAGCACTAATTGTTGGAACCAGAAGTTTTCATATTTTGCAGATTTTGTTTTCTCTGAGTCCATAGGTTAAACTTGTCTCTAATCTCAGCATCAGACTTTGCACATAGAAAATACTCTCATCTTCAAAATCTTGTATCTACCGTTTTGCTTTGAACTCTTCTCTATTTGACACTCCCTGCAACACTGGCTTCAATTCAACACTCCAATGGTTAACATCATGTCATTCCAAAGTTGCTTAATTCTTAATATATATATAATCCATCACACTACTTGTTATTTACTAAACCCTTAAGTATATCAAACTCTGTCACATGTATATAGTATATTGCCTCATTAAATCCTCAGCATCACCTTAAAATAGGCATTATGATTCCTATTTGACCGAAAAAGTCACTGGAAGCTGAGAATTTGAGCTCATTGACCTTCCCAAAGTCACAAAGCTGGGAGAGGCACAGCTAGAAAGTGTGGACCCCAGGTATCTGACTAAGAACATTTTATTCCTGTAACAATGTGATTGAGAACTACCAGGAACCCCAAACTACTAAGGGAAAAACCCACTGTACACATCCTTAAAGGATTCATCCCCTCAAAACAGATCCTTCCTGTGAAAGATGCGTAAAGGTGTGCAGAGAGAGAGAGAAGAAAGGCTTTCAAAACAAGGAATCCTGATCCACCCCCCAAAATTATCATTGTTTTGTGGGCCAAGGCCAGTTAGACAGCTTTTGCCCAAAGTGGGGCCACTACTGGTGGAAACCTGCTCCAAGTCTAAGGCACGCTCCAGCAGGGAACCTCAAGAGAGCGTCAGGCAGGTGCCAGAGCCGGGACAGGAAGAAATGTACCAACACAGCCCTGCATGAGGTCAAGGAAATGGCGCCAGGGTCCCCGCCAAGACGAGCAGCAGCTGTTCCACCCGCACACCCCGCGTCTCTTCCCCCAGGTACTTCTCCTCCCTCCCGCTGTCCGCCTCTATTCACAATCCATCTCGCTCCCTCTGTCAGCCCCCTCAGGTAAGACAAGCCCAGGGCCGCGATCCAAACGACTGAGAGTTCTACGGGTTACAAAATGGCGCCTACGGGGCCCCGCCGGCCCCACCCACCTTTCACAGCGACCCAACGTTTCCCCCGCGTTCTGCGGCAGACGGAGGGATTCCGTTTTGTGTCCGTATTTTAAATTCATTGCCACATGGGTCAGTGGTAAAGATATTTCCAGTATTTCCTCTGGAAAATATTTTCTATACCCTTAACACACACACAGCTGAGGCATGGCTCAAAGTGAGACATGAAAAAAGTTTAGGTTAAGCTTCCTGAGACAAACATATTGTGAAATGACTACAGACAACAAAAAGCTTTAAATTCTACCACTCCTGCCTTTAGAATGTGACCTTTGCAGTGTTTTCATCTCCACATTAAAGAGAATGGAACAGCTGGAATTTAAAGATCACAAGCAGTGCTGATCACCTTGTGCCCAAAGCAATTACTTACAATCAAGCATCAGAAACACGCACACCCCTCAAAAATTTAAGTTTAAAACAATGCCATTTGTAAAAAAAAATCCTTGCTTATCTTCCATCTCCAGGAAACAAACCAAGTGATTACATTTTGCATTTTCACAGCTGCCCACACTTTGTCGACCAGACTCTACATAACGCCGCACACCTGCCGACCAGCGCACCTGCGGACCAGCGCACCTGCCGACCAGCGCACCTGCCGACCA